GGAGAGGAGAGGAGAGGAGAGGAGAGGAGAGGAGAGGAGAGGAGAGGAGAGAAGAGAAGAGAAGAGAAGAGAAGAGGAGAGGAGAGGAGAGGAGAGAATAGGAGAGGACAGGAGAGAAGAGGAAAGGAGAGGAGAGGAAAGAAAAATCAGAAAATAGAGCAAAAGAGGGTATCAGTAAATTGAATCGGAGGAAGGAAGAGGACAAGGAGAAAGAGAACAAGAGACGAAAATATAGAAGTTGCAAACGAGCACACTAATAGAATGAGTAGAAGAAAAATATGAATGTAAGACAAAGGGAAAACAAAACTTTGGGAGAAGGCCAAGAGAAGCAGTGGGAAAAATAGATAATATAGAGGTGAAGAGAGCAATATGAATTGAGAATCGCCAGTTAAGAGTAGTGGCAGATCCATTAGGACGATAATACACATTTTATGAAGGGATGTCCCATGTTTCGATCATTTCATATAATACCATGAATGTCAGGCATCTTTGCATTTCCTAACATGATTCACGAATCGTTATTCGGCTCTTTTTTTGTTTCTTGCTCAAGGATAGCAAGCTGTTTTTGGTGAACATTAAAGATCGTCGCAGTTCTCAGTCCATCCGTCATTTTTGTAATTACAGTATGTCTTTCATAGACATATTTGAAGTGAAATTAAACATATAGAACATGCATAGCTAGGTCTGCGATTTTTAGAATACGACTGTCTCGTTTGTCGACTGATTTACTGTTCGCCACAGGTCGTCAGGGTTAATGAAATTTTCTGCCCCTCACAGACATGCTTTCCTTTACCCTGTCGCTTTTAGCTAAAAAGGAATTTGTGAAAAGAGACAGCGAGGAAAAGCCACAGAGGTAGGAGGATAGAAAGAAAATATGACAGTGGCGCAGAAAGCAAGAATAATTCACAGACAAGAGTGTTATGAAAGCTGCTTATTTGTGAATATGTTCATGAACTTGTCTTCTAGATTAGAAATGCTATCTGAAAGTGCCATGAATGTAAGAAAAGCGAAAAACGAATATGCGCTGTTTCGCCAATTCTTCTTCTGTAAATTTATTTGTTGCTTCTCTGCCCCTCCCCCCATCTTTCTCATTATACTAAATCGGATAAATGGATGATATTATCAAGCGGTTTGGCTGGTAAAACTTGAGAGAGTGTTGACACACCTCGGGCAAAACCCAATTAATTAACAACTTTGCACTCGATGCATTTCACACAGGTCGACCAGCGATGATAAGTATAAATGGATAAGGTAAGTAACTTCGAGGACTACCTCGATTGTACTGGCGTTTGGCCACGTTACTTTGGAGAAATAATAGAGGAGCACAGTTGTGGGGCTGTTGTTGCGACTGAGTGATGATCATGAATCAAGAAATGAATTTAAGTCTCACTGAATTCCTACCCCCGTACAGTTCTAGAAGTTACTGAGGTTTCAGAAGACTGAACGCTTGATGAAATTGTTACATGTGAACAGGACGTCATACCATTTGAAACAGCGCCGCCAGACGTGTGCCCGTGCGGAGGTGAAAGATGCCGCAACAGCTGTTGAACAGCGGCATGGCGACGGTCGGTCGGTTCGGTCGACCTCAGTGTCTTTTGTCTTTCCTCGGAGGGCAGGGAGTCGGACGTCGACAGCCGAGTGAGGGATCAGAGATGACGGTGGCGGTTGCTGCTGATCGTCTTGCTTCGATCCGCCTGATCGTCGATCGTCGAGGAGCACCGGGCGACGTGGCGACGTGTTGTGTGGTGCACTGGACGGAGGAAGAAACGAATCACTCGTCGCCACCGCATCACTTCGCCGGCCGTCGACAGCGTGCCTTCCCTCAAACGGCGAGGCCGTCGGAACTTTCAACTCCTCACCTCCAAAGACTTCCGCTTCGTTGTTGACAACCCAGTGACACGTTTCAGAAGAAAGACGACGTTGACGAATTCTTTGCCGCTTCTAATTGACTTGTGCTTCTGCGCACTGCAGTCATTCTTCCGTTTCCCTCGAACTTCTTGTCACTCACCTGCCAAGCGTGCGCAAATTACGCAATATCTGTTTGCTACTCTGATTTCTGGTAACCGCCTCAGGCTTGACTGCGGACCACCGGCTTCCGTCGACGACCTCTTGATTCCTTTTAGCAATTGGGTAAAGGTGAACTAAGGCTTATGCATTTAGAGAACATGAATTAATCTAAATAATCAAGAATTGAACATCTAATTGCAAGATATGGATTTATGATGTGGTGTTGCAAGTATGGCGCCATGGAAAAATATCAATATGTGCTCGTACGCTGGATACGTAGAATAGACACAACTAGTCCACGACCTGATTTCACGAAGTTCCTTGCTTTCAGTTGCCTACGAGGAGGAGGGGGGTCTATTTAAGAAAAAGACTGCTTCCCAGCATTTGATCACCAGAAGTGCTAGCAGCATAGCGCATCAGTTTGTTCGCTAGACGTACCTAACGCTAATTACAAACCATGTTTCAGGAGTTGGTATTCCTTATACACTACTTGAAATCGGATCCTGATGTGACAATGCATATTGGCTTAATTGATTGAATAATCAACTTTTAATTATGAAGTTTCAACCAACTTACGGCGAACTTGAAACAGGAATAGGTCTAATCAAAAACGGTTAGCATTGGCTGGTTCAATTGACCCTAGTCATAAAAGGGACATTAACTGTACTGAATGTTCACACATGTTTTTTGCAGCTTGAATATGTCTGCCGAAATGATCCAACCCTTCACAGCATCACTGCTGAAGGTTTATAATTCGGAGTGTTATGATATTATGAAAAGTTTCCTGAAGTGAAAAGATGGAAGCCATTGATTCAACATCTCATTCTTGACAATGATTTGAATGATAAACACAAATGAAATGGCGATATCGTTTATAAGATGCCTTAAGGTAAACTCTCGGTAGGTAGGCTGATTGTGTGATCGAACAAGATAGATTGCTCATAGAGAAATAGATGTGATATGCTCTGGGAAAGTTCGCCCCTTTGAGTTTTGCACTTATATCACCTACACAGCAGAATCTCGTCATTCTGTACTATGAAGAAGTGTCCCTTTCTTACAGATACTATTCTTCGTTCATCGTCAAGGACAGTGAAGGTTAAGCAGCCGGCCACAAGACACCATGGTTCTAGGGGGAGCCAACAGACGTTACCAATTGTTTTCAAATGTAGACGGCCTTCATCCTTCCGCGGTACTGGGCAAACGATTTTGATCGTTTCTTTGAATGGCCAACTTGTCGGTACGGTCCTTCGCCTGGGTTCACCTTGCTGTTTGTTTAAGGTTTCCAGCTGGTTGTGACCGCCCATTAGAGTAGCGTTGCAACGATTTTCTACAATATCATTGTTTTACTATATCATACATGAGGGACAGAGAATAAGAATTGAATATTTCTACAGGAAATTGTACCAAGATGAAAACGCCAGCACTATGAGTGACAACAAGGAACCTCAACACACGAGGAGGTTCCAGGTGTCACGCCAGAAGATGTACGGCATGCAACGAAACAGACGAAACGAGAAACGGGTCTTGGCGAAGATGGCACTACAGTGGAAAGCGTAGAATCACCAGACGAAGCGTTCACAAAGATATTAGCGTACTTGTTTTTGCACTGTCTGAAGGAACTGAAAATTCCAGACGATGGAACCACAATGCTAATGATTCTATTCTACAAATGAGGAGACTGAGAGGATTCTGTACGAACTGTAGGCGACCGGTTTGTTGACAAACAATAACCAGATCTTCGCGAATATACGGACGAGAACGCTTCAAGAAAATATGAACGCTGCACATACAAAAGAAACGATTGGTTAATGATTAAGGCTCGGATTCATGACTAGGCCATGTCACGTTCTTACTGTAATCAAGCTGTTTAAGATACAACATTACAGTAATTTGTTACGACTTCAACCTGTTTTCCACTCAGTCGATAAAGTGGTTAGTGTTGTCCATACGCCTCTCTATAAATGAGATATAAGCGATATAATGACACGATATTTTGAGAAGCTTTTCCGTCCTTTACAGTCTTTGTTAAGTCCACTGATGTCAGATTTGAAAATTTCCTGTCATCAGTCTAGCATTCTTTGTCTTTCCTTTAGCTTCTTTCAGTCTCACGCTGAGGAGTGAGTTTCCTAATAATTATTATGTGCGAATATTTTGACTTTATAGAACTATTAATCCTCCGGGATTTCGTTCCAAACAAAAATTTCATAGCCGATTAGACTAACAGACGTAGTTTCTGTCTTCTACGACACAAATTTAAGAAAAACCTGCTTGTGGTTCCCCTGAGAGACCGGCAGACATCAAAAACTACAAAGTGGGTTCCGCTGGACCACCAATTTTGCCCAAGAACACGCTGGGATGAGCCGATGGTCAAATTACTCGGTCAGCAATGGAAGCACAAAGTGCAGATAACGAAAACAGGAGGAACGTTGACTTATGTGCACTCAAAATGA